TGTGCAGAGTTTCTCCTAAAACCTCAGAATTTCCCTTGAAAAAAAATAAAGCAGCTCTGGTTTCAGCTGTTTCTGCTGGTTCCTGTACCAGGCTGACAAGTTTCAGCCACAGCTCACCACCCTGCTAGATGCTATAAGTCACATCAAATTGAGCGTGACTTCTCGGTGTCAGGAAAAATCTGAACAGGCCATAAGGAACAGACTAAAGGCTCTCTTTTGTCCAAGAAGAAATTTAACACTAAGCAATAGCCCACAAAAGGCAGGGCAGCTAAATCAGTTGCTGATTCAGATGGTAACCACTGTTAGTTTGTTGGAAACATCCCACCCAGTCCCTTATCCCTGACAAAAGTATTGGCACGTGCCTTTCTTCAGGATGAACTCCTTACCATTGCATAGCTGCAAATGATCGTTTGTTCTTTCATCACCATTGTTGTACACCTTTCACATGTGGTAAAATACATTTCCTTACCTTTTTCCCTGACTACCCAGGATCTCCCTTCACTCCTATCTCTCCTTTGGGTCCTGGTAGACCTGTATCTCCCTCAAAGAAGAATAAATCATTATACCTGCATACTTCAATGAATTCTTTATTCTGTAAAATGGACCAAACAGTCCATTATTAAAGATAAACATAGATAAAGATAAAGATCCATTATTAAAGATAATTATTAAAGATCCATTATTAAAGATAAACAATATTTTTGCTCAAATAAAAGTTATTATTCCTAGTAGGTTAAATGTTCTATAGAGACATCAAATTTTCTTCTCATAAAATAAGTATTTTAAATTTCTTTCAAAATTCCCCACCTACTTCTTAAATCTTGTGTTTGTATTAAATAATGTTATATTTATTCAGTGAGTAAAAATATCATTGAATGCTGTTTATTATTCTGTGCACAAGAACAATATTATATGAACATAATTTACTTGCCAAGTCAAACACCTAGGACTTAAGGAATGGTCAGCCAAAAACACCTAACTGGAGTTGTTGACTGGACACTAACCCCTCACTGGTTGAACAAACTAGTCAAGGCAATAATTTTAATATTTGCCAGAAAGAGTTGAAACAATCCATAGGAAGTAGTCCTGCCAAACGTTTCTTCCATGATTTGGGGAAAAATGATTAAAAATCATTAAAAACAATTACCTAAGATTTTGGAAGCCCTACTTAAATAGGGGTAATAGAGGGAGGTCATGAAGGTACTCAAAGTGGCACAGACCCATGAAAGTGTCAAGGATATGTGACACCAGTGCCTAGAAAACAAAATACTTATTGTGATTAATGTACTTTGATATTAAAGTAATTATATTAAATTAGCAGAAATATAGAATGCAGTTTGTTTCTTGAAATCTCTAATTATTAGGAATAAGCAAAGATCCGAGTGTTTTGGGATGCAGATATATTACCTAGGTCTGAAGCATCAGTATGAACTTCAGTATGAACATTCTTCTAAGAAACAGTGGTTTAGTAATGAAATTCAATACATGAATGTACTATTAATATTACACCGATGTTACAGAATAAGTGCAATTTTTTCATAAAGACAATATTATATTATAATGACAATATACACCAATTAAAATTAAAATTACAATGTTAAATCAGCAATTCAACGTATTTTTAGACAGAACTGAACTCTATTAAAACTGACTTACAAAAAACAGCCTGTAATTTACAAGAATTCATTTTAAATAGCGTTAATAACAAAGACATGATATTAAATATAAATATCCTTCCTAAATCCTCTTTTAAAATGCATCAAGAAGTTACATACATAGAGGTAATACATGAAGTCCTCTAAAGAGAGAAAGGAAACAGCTGAGTCTCTTACCTCTGAAGGCATGCAAAAAGCAAATTGTGGAATGAAAAAGCTGTCAGTGTAGAAAATAGGCCCAGTAGGTCATACTGGAAAATATGTTTTGCTTACCAAAATAAAGCAATCTACAAATAAATAACCTATCCACTTGCAAATGGCTCTACCTTTCATCTAGATCCTTTATGGTCCATAACTGCTGTTTAGTTGGCCAAAGTTTAAATGAAGACAGTCAGGCACTTAGCCAGGGCTGAGTGAGAGACCAAGACATTTTATTAAAGGGACAGTGTCAGTCTGGGAGCACGAGTGTTTTCCGACTTTAAGTAACTGAACTTTCACATTAAAAAAAATATTTTTAGACAATCTACATCTTTACCCTTCACTTTGCCAGTCACATCTTCAGGTTATCCCTGTTATCCTAGCACTGGCTAGATCAGAGATGTGAGAACAGTACTGTATCTTTTGTAGGCTAGAACTGAAGTCTGACCTGATGGTTTGTGAGTCTGCCAGGACTGCATTGTTCAAATTGCATTAGCAATTGCAATAATAAAAGACAACTTTAAAAAAAAACAAAACAAAGGAGGGAAAATTCTTCATGAGCTGGTGTCCTCAGAAGCTCTTTCTGCTCTTTAAATGCTTTGAGGGGTCAGACACAGACAGGATATCTAAAAGGGGTCTGTCATTTAGGTAGCTCTCAGCATTTTGTATGCAAATTGTATTTGCTCTACTGGCAGGCTTCAGAATAAAATTGTGTTATCACACTGTTAAATAAAAAGTTGGGGTGAGAGAAATGGTAAGTCTCAAGGAATCATGACATGTCCTGAAGGATTTCTGTGCAGATGCCCAATAGAAGGTTAGCAGCCAGTGTCTGGACAGGCATTGCCTACTGGGCAAGTCATCCCTCCGCACCTTGGTGGCAGGACACAATCATAGAATCATAGAATATCCTGAGCTGGAAAGGACCCACAAGGACCACCTAGTTCAACTCCTGGTCCTGCACAAGCCAACCTCAAAAATCACACATGTGCCTGAAAGAGCTGTCCAAATGCTTCTTGAACTCTGACAGACGTGGTACTGTGACCACTTCCCTGGAGAGCCTGTTCCAGTACTGGTCTGTTCCTGGCTGCCACAACACTCTGCTGACTTATGTTCAACTTGCCATCAACCAGGACCCCCAGAGCCCTTTCCAGCCTTTCATTCCCCAGTCTGTATGTATATCCTGAGTTGTCCTGTCCCAAAATCAGAATCTGGCACTTGCCCTTGTTAAACTTCACACAGTTGGTGATTGTTCAGCCCTCGCATTTGTCAAGTCACTCTGCAAGGCCTCTCTGTCTTCGATGTAGTCAACAGCTCCTCCCAGTGTAGTATCACCATCAGATTTACTTAGTGTCCCATACAGTCCTGCTTCCAAGTCATTTATGAAGATGTTGAAGAGCACAGGGGCCAAGATGGAGCCCTGTGGAACCCCACTAGTGACAGGTCAACAGTCTGATGTCACCCCATTCCTTATTACCCTCTGTGCTTGACCCATGAGCCAATTGCTCACCCACTACCTGGTGTGTTAATCCAGTGTGTGCTGGACATTTTGTCCAGATGGATATTGTGAGAGACTGGATTGAAAGCTATACTGAAATCCAAAAAGATCACACCAATTGGCTTCCCTTGATCAACTATTTGGTTTACCTTGTCATAGAAGGAGATCTGTTTTGATAAGCAGGACTTTCCCCTCATGAAGCTGTGCTGGCTCTGACCAATGTCTGCATTGTCCTTCATGCATTTTTTCATACCTCACAGAATAATCTTCTCTGTAATTTTACCAAGCACTGATGTGAGACTGACAAGTCTGCAGTTACCTTGGCCATCCCTCTTGTCCTTTTTGAAAACTGGGACAATATTTGCCAGCTTCCAGACAGCTGGGACCTCTCCAGATTCCAAAGACTGTTGAAAAATCATTGAGAGTGGTCTCATGATGACATTAGCCAGCTCTTTGAGTACCATGGGATGAATTCCATCAGGCACCATAAACTTAGCAGAATCCAGCTGGAGCAGCAAATCCAACACTAGTTCAGGGTTGGCTGGGATATGATAACTAGGAGTCTTTAAGTAAGCAGACTACATTTCCTGCTGATTTCACTAAAATTTTGGTGAAGGGGAAAGAATAGGGGGGAGAAAGAATAGAGGGGAAAAGAATAAAGCAGTGAATCTAAAAAAAAGTACCTGTCTTCATCAAGGTCAGTAGAAACATCCTTCATCTAGCCTGGGAGCAAGGTCTCCTCTATTGATAGAGTACACACTTCCTTAACTACTCACTTTCTACTTCTCTAAAGATATATCCCTTTTTAAAGAGACATTCAGCTAGAAATCCACATTTGCAAACACCCATAATCTATTCATGTGTGCTGTAACCCTAAGTATGACAGCGTATGTTACAACCTTCCAACTAAGGAAATTGGAGAGGTCTTAGCTCTTAGCAAAATGGAGATAACACTAATCTGTTTGTGTACTGGTTTTGGCTGGGGTAGAGTTAATTTTCTTCACAATAGCTGGTATGGGGCTGATCTGGATTCATGGAGGAAAGAGTGCTGATAGTTCAGTATTAGCACAGAATGAAGGCATTTTCTGCTCCTCATCCCACCCCAGCAGGGAGTGGGCTGGAGGTGCATAAGGAGTTGGGAGGGAAACAGCCAGGACAGCTGACCCCAAGTGACCCAAGGGATATCCCAGATCATATGGTATCATGATCAGCATATAAAGCTGGGGGAAGGTTGTTTGGGGGATCACTACTCAGGGACTGGCAGGGCATGTGCCAGCTGGTGGTGAGCAATTCTTTTGGTTTGCATCACTTGTTTTCTTGGGGTTTATTTCTCTTTTTGTTATTTTCCTTTTCATTACATTATTATTGGGTTTTTTTTTCAGTTATTAAACTGTTCTTATCTCAACACGTGTTTTCTCACTTTTACTCTTCCAATTCTCTTACTCTCATCCTGTTGGGGGTGGGCAGTAAGAAGAGGCTGTGCAGTGTTTAGTTGCTGGCTGGGGTTTAGTCATGACAGCTGCATGTGAGAGCTGTACCTCTGCCATATGACTGTACACAGTACCATTCCTACACAGAACTGTCAGTCTGTGAATGGTCTGTTAACATGAAATGGACTGAAGGAACATGCTGTTAACAGAGAAACATAATACCTGCAACCACTGCTCACACTCTTTCCCTAGTTCAAGTGAGGAAGCATTCACTGGCCCAGCAGCTGCAGCCTGCTCCTGAAAGATCTCCTTCCTAGAAACCTCTACATCATCTTCTGTCAGACATGTGTCATCTTCACTGAGGTTAATTGTCTCCATTAAGTAAATGTTGCATAAAGAGTTTCAATAGAATACAATATTTTTAACTAAATATCTGTTAGTGCTACAAGTTATACTTACTGGCAGTATCCAGCCTCTATTGGATTAGAGACAATGGTGATGATTAAGCATTTCATTAGCAACAAATTAGTCACATGGATCACTCATACTCTCTACATAATTATTCTTATCCTCTTTCATGCTTAGATCAAGACTTGTAGACAGCCTATTGGATCATCAGCTATGGAAGAATACTTTTTCCAGCAGTCAGTAAGGTTTATATGCTGATATGTGCCAAAACAGAACTGAGTGAATAGATTTCCAGATGTGGAAATCTTTTTTTGGGGGGACCTGCAAACACGACTCTCATCTGGCAGAGATCAGAAAATGTTAATATTTGTGATTTTTAGACATAACAATTTGACTGGTCAAATACACATACAACCTGGTAGTTCTGACAAACATCCAGTATTTGGATAGCAATGAGGTTGAGTTTGGCTTTATTTCTCTGACTAGAAAACCTCTAAATCTGTTGCATGTTGTGTGTAATTGGTCTCCAGCCACAACCTAAGCTCTTCTTTACTACTTACTGTGCTTTGGAAGTACAGTAAGAATCTTGACAGTTCCATTACAGGATTGTTGATTTACAATTCAAAGCTTTCTTTTTTCACTAGTCTTGTCTGTATATATTTTTGTAGCTTTGGACTCACTTAGAAATCAAATCTGATGGAAGTTATGACTTCAGATTTACAGCATTGTTTTTAACACTAATACTTCTTGCAAAGCTTTTTAGTACATCAGTGTTACAATGGTTGCCCTGAACCAGATGCTCTGAACCAGATGCTCAGTACCTACAGCTCCCACGACTATTGAATCTGTCTAAATGCACCCATTACATGACCATACTAAAGCTCTGGTCTGCAGTATGAAGTTTTATGCCTAAAACGCATTTTATGTTGTCAGTGAATTTCAGGTTAAAAGACTTTAGTTCCTGTATTCATGTTAAGTCACTTCTTCTATTGGAAAAAGTCATGTATCAGCTTTCTTTCCTGGTACATACCTGCCCTTCTTGAATACTTCCTGCTATTCTCATTACTGTAACTCAAAAATAGTAAAGAAGAAATAAAAAGAGAGAGTTCACAAATAAAAAAATAGCTTCTGTATGAAGACAAAGTAAATTATGATTCTGTTGCTTGAAAAGCCACAACTGAATGTGCATGTGATACAGATCTACAAAAGTATGAAAGAAGGTGACTATTCTAGAGTACATAAATGTAAAGTGTCAAAGGACTTACACTATGGATCAGTTTGGTTGATGATATCAATCAAAACTCACTGCCTTAAATTTACATTTTTTTCCCCCAGTGTGCTCTTCACTCAATAAGAGTGACAATAATTACTACAAAGAATGTAGATTTTTTCCTCTGGCTAGGAGACATCACTAATAGATGCAATTTGAAGTAAATATTTTAAAAGGTTTTTAAAATCACTGTTCCTAATACTTGATAGATCTTAATTCAGTGCCATTGTTGTTCATACACTGTGTAAGTAGAGTCATGATTACATGCCTTTTTAAAACCAGATTGCAATAAGTGTATCAAAAGGATCATTTAATTGTTGAATATGTAAGCTATAAAGATATTAATGGTACCTAAATCCTGCCCTCTGGTGTATCTACATGATAATGCACAATGATGTAATGACAGTCACACTGGGTGACTCATTCAGCATTTAATCTGTATACACCCGGTAAATGAGGCTACTGTCTGGGCAAAACATTTGTGTCCTTCTAATAGAAGGTGAAATCTAGAGACTAAGATATTAAAAGACTACAATACAAGGCTTCAAGGAGGGAGGATATCTCCAGGAAGAACAAACTGGTTTTACTCCTTAGTTCTTACCTGATTCTGAGAAACTAAATACTTGTTTCATACATTCCTCTCTTTTGAATGCCCAGATTGGGAGTGCCAGTACCTGACACATAGATCTTTTGAGCACTACAAAATCAATGGAAGTTAAAAGTGATCAGTGAGTGTACCAGCAAGGCAGCATAATCTGCTGAAATAAGTACAGTTCTGAGTTGTCAGAGAATTGAAATTACAGTCTTGTTGCGTCACTTAGGAACACACGTCATACTGACCTGAGACATGTTTTGCATTAGTTTTAAGGTAAATTATTACTTATATTTGTCAGAAAAGTGAGCAAAGATTAAAATAGTAATTGTTTAAAATAGATTCATGTTACTTCGTGGCAGTCCAGTTCCTGAAATGCCACAATTCCCTTTTGGAACAAGCTCACCTTGTTGTCCTTAAAAGAAAGCCAAAAACATAAAACCCCCTCAAAAGACCACCCAAAATTCCAATTTAGAATAATTTTTGCAATTTTTTTACTTCACTGACAGCCTAAAGCAAAGATGACCAAAGTTTTCATGTGCAGACAGTGCAGTATCTGTTGTGTTGCCATTTCATGCCTACGAAAAATATTGTGCATTCTGAAACACTAAATAGCTTGTGTTTCTATTAACTTGCTTTGTACCTGTCATTGGAGTAACAGCATTTACTGGTTCAAAATACAATTTTTCATTTTTAAATTTCTCTGAATCTCTCTTGTGCCAAAGACACAGGAAAAATCCTTTCTGTAGTTTGTGTATATGTTAGTAGTGTATTTGGACCATCATTAGGACTCAAGAAATGAGATCTCAGATACTTCAGCTGCTGATTCACTAGTACCTAAAGAACTTACTCTTAAAATCAAAGTTAGATGATGTGCTTATTGCAAATGTTAGCTAAACTCATAAACTAAACTCCTATCCTTTCCCACGGTAAAATGTTAGGAACATACAAACTGAATTTCATCTTTGTCATAAAAAGAACCAGCAGGTGATTATTTGAAACAGATGTGAAAAAGTCACTATGCCCCACTTCAACAGTAGCAGAGGAAATGGAATGATGAAAAATGAAAAAGATAAGCATGAAAATACAGACTGCCAATTTTGCCTTTGATATATGATAGGCTACTCTATTTGAACTACTCTTATTTTTTTCTACAATGCTTGGCCTTTTTTATTTATCAAAACAACTGCTGAGTACCTAAAGATTACCATTATTAAGGGGGAAAAAAGGCTGGTTTTATAAGGGAAAATGCTTTTCAAATTGGAAAAATATTAGAAGGAAATCTAAGTTGTTGTACCATTATATCACATTTGTGGCTTAAATTAATAAACGTCATGAAAATTTAACATACAAAATGTAGTTTTCTTGGAGGACACAAATTTTCCAGTATGTTTAGAGACAAGAAAAAACGGAAAACAGACATTAACACAAATTATATTAAAAGCTGCTCAATTCACATTTTTTAAACTGAAGGCACTGAACACAGGGAGGTTATTGATGAGATGGATGGACAGTACTTTATCATACATTTTCCTTAAAAAGTTTTGCAAAGCTATAAAAACTCTAGTAACACCATTACAAATTCTTTACTGTAATTAAAAAAAAAAAAGGAAAATATTTAATAAGGAAGCCTAAGAGTATTCATTCCCTTTCTTTTCTGAGAAAAGAAAGAAATAAGAGAAGCAGCTAAAATAAGGAACGAAGATCCTGACTCTAACAGTGATAAATAAATACAAATGTGACATTTAAATATTTCCAGACCAAATATTAGTTCCTATATGAAGAAGGAAGTTATTCAGAGAGAACTTGAAATTGTCCAATAAATAGTTCAGCTTGTAATTTTTATTTTGGACAAGTTTGAAGAGCATTAAAAACAAAAGGAGAAAAGGTTAAAATTCACATCTCCACGGTTTGCAAAAAAGCAGGTTGTGAATTCTAATAATATAGGAGCAAGGAAATATATATTTTTTTTTTCCTTCCAGGTAGTTTATAAGTACGAAAGCTTTATGACTCTGAGTTTCATCAAATACTGGAACAGGTTTCCTGGAGATGAAATGGGAGTCCCAAAACCCCATGCTTTGGCTAGTTGAGTAGGGCCCCAGAAAGAGGGTAGGGTTAGATCGGATATGAGGAAGAAATTTGTCACTGTGAGAGTGGTGAGACACTGGCACAAGTTGCCCATAGAAGCTGTGGACGCCACATCCTTGGAAGCGTCAAAGGCCAGGACGGATGGGGCTTTGAGCAGCCTGGTCTAGGGGAGGGTGTCCCTGCCCATGGGGAGGCGGGGGGGTGGCTGAAACGGGACATCTTTAAGGTCACAGAATCACAGGGTGGGTCAGGTTGGAAGGGACCACAGCGGACCATCTGGTCCAACCTCCCTGCTCAAGCAGGGTCATCCTAGAGCACATGGCACAGGATTGCATCCAGACGGTTCTGCACCAGTCCGCGCGCGGGACTCTCCGCATTCTCTTCTGAGCGACCTGTCCCGGGCACTGAGACGCGCGGGGAGGGCGGGGCTCCCGCGGCCAATGGGAGACCGCGGCCCGGGGACGGAAGTGCGCCACGGCCCCGCCCCGCGCCAGGCGGAGCTTCCCTTTCCCCTTCCCGTTTCCCGCCGCCGCGCGCGCCGGAACCGCCGCGCTTTTCCTTCCGCACCGTCCCTGCTGCCGGAAACCCGCGTGTGCTTCCCGTGCTTTCCCCTCAGGCGGCGGGGCTGGCGGCTCGCCGCCTTCTCCCCCGTCCCTTCTCGCCGGCGGCGGTGGAGGTGCTGGAGGGTCCCGCGGGGTGGGTGAGCAGCTGCCGCGCCCGGGAAGGTGGGAAGGAGGGAGAGAAGGAGGGTGGCAGCGTCCCGGCTCCTGCCGGGAAGGGGCTGCGGAGGGGCCCCTGCGCCCCTCGGAGCTCGTAGGAGCCGGGCGGTGTGGAGGGCGGGCAGGCACACACAGGCCCGGGGAGAGTGAATACCACTGTCTTTTCATACTTCCCAATCCAGCATGTCCCTTTCTCCAGTTATAAAAGACGTTTGTGGGATCTGTTTGTAGGTGAGCATGCGTAGTGATTCTGGGCATGAAGCTACTGAGAGTGTAGATGGAGTTTAACAGTGATGTTAAACCTTTTTTAGTGTTGCTGGGCCAGATACGAACGAAGACAAGGTTACATTGGGGCAGGAGGTGGCATCAGGAGCTGTACAATAAGATGACAAGTTGTATTTCTATAGAAATCTTCAAAGAGAGCAAGCCTTTCTAGGCTGTGGAGCAGACTTCAGATAAAACAGACTAATTTTTGTCAACGAATGCCCTTCAATTAGGGAGAGAAATTCTCTTCTAGATGTTTGAGGGAGTGGCTCCTTCCCGGCATCCCACCCACGAATTGTGCCACATCCCATCTTGGTTAATGTCTTCTTGCTTAACACTGGTGTGGAGTTTGTAAACACAGCAAGTCCTGTTGTCATCGGTTTGTAGGTGGCTGTGTTGGTTCTGTCTTAGTAGGTACGTGCCAGTAAAATGTGCTGTGAGGAAAATGATGTAATGCAGAGAATGCTTAAGGTTTTGGCCTGAAACGTGTTACATCTTAAACCCCTGGGCTAAAAGTCATTTATATTTTTGTTTGTTTAGTGATGAACTCAAATTGCAAAAAGAACTTGGGTTTTGATAATGTTCGTGCAAATTATTTTCTCAACAGTTTTCATATGCATGGATATCACCTGAATATTCTTACCAGAGCTTAGATTGTGCATGAGCTTACCCCAACCATGAGTGGCTCCAAACCTGATATTCTGTGGGCCCCGCACCATGTTGACAGATTTGTTGTGTGTGACTCGGAGCTGAGCCTTTATCACATCGACTCTGCTATGAGTTCAGAACTCAAGGCAGGGTCCTTGCGGCTGTCAGAAGAAACTACGGCTACGCTGCTGTCCATAAACTCGGATACGCCCTACATGAAATGTGTGGCCTGGTATCCCAAGTACGATCCCGAATGTCTCCTTGCTGTTGGACAGGCCAATGGCCGAGTGGTACTTACCAGCCTTGGTCAAGATCACAACTCAAAATCTAAAGATTTGATAGGCAAAGAGTTTGTTCCCAAACACGCACGGCAGTGTAATACCCTGGCGTGGAATCCACTGGATAGCAATTGGCTGGCTGCTGGCTTAGATAAACATCGGGCTGACTTTTCAGTGCTGATCTGGGATATCAGTAGCAAATATGCCCCAGAGACTGCAGTTGCTACAGAGAAAGTAAGACTTTCAGCAGGCGATGCGGAATCAGGACTGGTAGTAACAAAGCCACTGTATGAATTAGGACAGAATGATGCTTGTCTCTCTCTCTGTTGGCTTCCACGGGATCAGAAGCTGCTGTTAGCTGGAATGCATCGAAATCTGGCTATCTTTGATCTAAGGAACACAAGCCAAAAAATATTTGTAAACACTAAGGCTGTCCAGGGAGTGACTGTTGATCCGTATTTCCATGATCGTGTAGCTTCCTTCTATGAAGGTCAGGTTGCCATATGGGATTTAAGAAAGTTTGAAAAGCCTGTTTTGACCTTGACAGAGCAACCAAAACCCTTAACAAAAGTCGCATGGTGTCCAACAAGAACTGGACTGTTAGCTACTTTGACAAGGGATAGTAATATCATTAGGCTGTATGACATGCAGCATACTCCCACCCCTATTGGAGATGAAACTGAGCCAACAATAATTGAAAGAAGTGTCCAACCTTGTGAAAATTACATTGCTTCCTTTGCCTGGCATCCCACAAGTCAAAATCGCATGGTAGTAGTGACCCCCAACAGGACTATGTCTGACTTCACAGTTTTTGAAAGAATTTCTCTTGCATGGAGTCCAGTGACATCCTTAATGTGGGCTTGTGGACGACATTTGTATGAGTGTACAGAAGAAGGAAAGGCTAATTCCTTGGAAAAAGACATAGCAACCAAAATGCGGCTCAGAGCTCTGTCAAGGTATGGTCTTGATACTGAACAAGTTTGGAGAAATCACCTCCTAGCTGGAAATGAAGATCCTCAGCTGAAATCGCTTTGGTACACTCTGCATTATATCCTTTATTTTACTGTAGTTTCTGTCCTAAAGAAGTAATATACCTTTGTATGTAAACCACTTATATGAAATGCATTAAAATCTTTAAATATAATGTAACATCCTGTAAGGGCTTTGCATGTTAACAGGATGTGACCTTAAATTTTTAAAAACAGTTTTTCAAACACTTGGGAAAAATTAAGCTTCCTATACATGAAAATACTTATGAAGCAGTATACTGAAGATATGGATCAAAAACTTACAGGAAACAAAGGTCCCTTAGTTTATGCCGGCATTAAATCAATTGTGAAGTCATCTTTGGGTAAGAATGTTCTAATTTTGCTAAGTTCTGTTGTAGTGTGTTTGCAGAATGATGCACTCATTGGTCTATCTTTAATAATTGTCCAAAAAGGCTATTTAAAAATTTTGAAACTAAGTATTTCTGTTTATGTTTTAATAATGTAAGTTAACAGTTTATATTACAGTAATTTCCAGAATTTTCAGTGTTCAGTAATCATAAAAGCATAATATCTTCAGAGGTAAATCTTTGAACTATTTCAAACATAGTGAGTTTTGACTATGGCACTGAGAATTCTTGCTCCCCACAAGACTATCTTATTTTTCAAAGCTCTACATCTGGATATAATTCTAGGAATGTGACTTTACTATAGTTACTGCTAATGTATTAAGTACGTTTGCACAACTGTGTTTAGATAAGCTGTCCTGTTCTGAAGTCGTAATTGCCCCTGGTGTATCACATTCTGCCTCTCACGCTCACTGAAGTTTTTGTTAGTATAATCTATTATTTGAATCTTCTCTATTCTTTATATGTCTTATTAATATATATGCTCCTTGGAGCAAAAAATAAGTCTTCAGTGGTGGGAAAGCTTCTAGCACATTGATGCTGGCTAAGAAGAAAACTGGTAGAGCAGGTGCTTGACTGCGTATTATGTATTTTCATTTTGAACATACTGAAAAGCCCTGTCAACTGTAACAAGAGGTAGAGGAAGCAAAAAAAAAATTAGTGGGGAATGTGTGTCAAGTTTAGGTGCATTTTTTTTTTTAGTAGATCAAAATCATTTCATGTATGCTGCTTCTTACTGTGGAGTTGTAAGCACTGTTAATTTAAAGTACTAAAAAATAACACTCAGCTTTTGCACTCTGTGTTATGATTGAAATGAAAGCCTCATGTTGTGATTGCGATGTAAATTGTGATTTAAGCATAATTTAACTTATTTCCCATTTCTAGGAACAACAGAGAACCTCAGGCACAGCAGGAGTGGATCTGATAGACAGGCAGATATTATTCAATATCTGAGTGAGGAGAGATACTTGGCTTTGCAGCTCTGTGGGTGGATAAAGAAGGGAACAGACTTAGATGTGGAACCTTTTCTAAATTCATTGGAACAGGAAGGAGACTGGGAACGAGCTGCTGCTGTAGCACTTTTCAACTTGGACATACGGCGAGCAATACAAATTCTACATAAAGGGGCTATCTCAGGAAAAGGTGCGTATTGTGTTTAGTGTCTTCAATTTTGGCACTATATCAGTTTAGTAGACTTTTTTTCTATTAACAGAATTATGGAAGATAGTATGGAAGAGATGCCTGTTGTCTTATAAAGTTGTTACTTGAAGCAGTTGTATTGGAGCTTGAGAATCTGACAATCCTGGTATTTTGCTCCTCAGACTACCATATGTCATACTGTCTAATTAAAATAGATCAGATGTTTCTGAATTTCTTACTGATACAAACCCCAGAGAGACATACATTTGGAACTAGTGGGATTCTTTTACTTTAATGGATTTGCTTCTTGGCTAGATATCATGTAAATCTGCTTCTGTTGGGCTGTATTGCCAGTGCAATGGCTGTGGAATAATTAAAACATAATGTTTGATATCTGCAGAAAACATTTGTTTTGGGGTAATATCTGTTAAGAGTTACCGTGTACGATGGAAAAGTTAAGATACTGGAGCCAGGAGATGGAAGTGGCTTTGTTCTGTTTTCTTGCCAGTATTCCTCCTGCAGTGCTGCTTTGCATTTGTGCTCTCTATTAAATTAGAAAGACTATCGTGCCACTAAAGTGGGTAGGTAAGACAAGACAAGCTGTAAAGATTCCTTTATTTTTAATATTTCCCCTTTTAGTGGGGGTATGAGTGTCTGTGTCTGCTTTTCTTGGGGGGGTTCAGATTGAAGACATGCTATCTTTAAATTCAAGAATAAAATTGAACTTTCTGACAGAATGAATCTTTAGATGAAATAGTTTCATGTTTTAGGAAACTTCTTAACTTGAAACTACTATATAACGTTGTCATCCTCCAGCTAGATCTGTTAAGTGATGGCTGGATATACAGTCCTGGTTTTCACTTCTTCTGGATATGAATTATGATATTGACAATCTTTTTCAATAGCTATTTCAAATTACCAGAACCAGCGTGATGTTGTTTAAAGTATAATGAGGCTGTTGTGCGTGTGGGCTTGTGACTTTTAGAGATGTTAACTTACCTGAACAGAGGCATTTAATGCAGAAACAAGTGCATACATGCTAGTGTATGCACATTTATTTTAGCTAGTGTTAATTCTACTGCATTTTGTCTTGCATCCTGACAAAACATTGCATTTTAAATGGATGCTTTCAATTACAGTTTTAACTGGATTTTTTTTTAAGTCCTTGACTTGAATAATACTGTTTCACTGATTGCTTTTCATAAATCAGGTGATCTGAACCTTAATGTAGTAGCAATGGCTCTGTCAGGCTACACAGATGAGAAGAACTCACTTTGGAGAGAAATGTGCAGTACTCTGAGACTGCAACTGAACAATCCCTACTTGTGTGCAATGTTTGCTTTCCTGACAAGTGAATCTGGTTCATATGACGGTGTTTTGGTGAGTAAATTTCTGTTATGTTAAAATTCCTCTATGTAATAGGAGCACATAGAAACATGTAGGGA